CATCAACCGAGTCCTCTGAAACTGTGTCTTCATCTCCAAGTGTTTGAGAACACTTGGAGATTTAGGTGATTCCTCACTTAAACCTTTCCAAAAGGCTTTAGCAACCTCCAAAGCCTCTGCACCACCCTTGTCAATATTATCAACTACCACTGTTGGGGTGCCTGTAGACCGTTTGAGTGGAGGTAATATTCAGGAGCAAAGTCCAGAATTCCTCTCGTTGGAAGCTAGGATGTATGGATGTCAGGTGGTTTGGTTTTGCCTCTAAAAACTCATTGGACTTAATTAAGGCTACCTACCACAGTAAGGGAATAGAGACTCGATTGTCGAGCTGTACGGAATCCCTGGGGAGTGAAACAATTTGTTTCCTGATCGAGAAACTCTCACCAAGTTTGAGATCGTTATTTGGTTTCAACTTTCCAAACCTCGGCGTGCTAAGGACTCCACCTTGGTCTTTCTAAACCGGGAGGAATGGGCCCTATCACTCCAAGTGGCGCCTGAGGGTCTGTCCACCCGTATTCCTATTTAGCCCCTGTTTGGCCGCCATTTTTTGGGGTTGAAAATTTGTNTGGGCCCTAGCACTCCAAGTGGCGCCTGAGGGTCTGTCCACCCGTATTCCTATTTAGCCCCTGTTTGCCCCTATTTTTTGTGGTTGAAAATTTGTAGAATAGTGATTGATGGGAAAATGTGTGGTGAAAAATTTTTAGATTTGTGTGTAATATTATTTTATTTGAAAATGTGTGGTTGAGATGAAGAGAGAGAGAAAATTAATATAATGGAATGAGGAAAAATGGGGCTCAAACGGGGCTTAAGTGTAAGTTGTTATTTCTGGTGCTTAAATTAAAAACTGAAATTGTAAATCTTATCGGCGCACATATTTAGTCCATGTTTAATTCATAATAAAATTTGTAATTGATAAGGTGAATTTATTATAAAATATGTATTTAAAAGCAATTATTAACTTTAATTTAAATTTCAATTAATTTTTTAACAAATAATGCTATTTATACATCATCGTGCACATAATGATGTACAAGAATAGCACGACAAAGATCTTAAATTGGATTATAATTCTTGGCAGAATTGCAAATTTTGATTACTGTAGTCAATTGAATTATGAGATTTTAAAGACGACATGAGAAGGAAAATTGCTGAATTTCGTGTTATTGCACGGACAAGTTGGTCGATAAAGGGACTTCGCAAATTGTGTAATTTCTGATGGTTTTTTTTTTTCAGTTTACTTCGTATCACTGTAGTGCGTTCATAATCAAAGCAGCACATATAGAAAGTATTATTCATCGCACGTATATTGAACACAAAAATAGTTAGCAACTTGCAAGTAAGGCATACAAAACAATATTCAAATTCAAAAGGAAAGGCCAAAATATTTCTTGATTACATTTATTATGCATTTTAACACAGTAGTTAACAATACAACTACTTTGTCACATCTATGTTTAGTAACATGCAATAAAATGTTCACATGAAGGAACAATGACACCCATCGGGATGCCATGCTAATTCTTAGAAGGCATCCACACACACTCATTTCCACAAAATTGAGTGTAGGATATAGTAAATGCCTTTTGGACGCGTTTGGCTAATTTTATGAAAGTGTTACTTCTAATTATTCCTCTAAAAACACTTTTGAAATATGAAGTGCTTTTAAAACTAGCTTCCTCCAAAAGTTCTTCTACATGAAGCAAAAGTAGAAGTAAAAACCATGCCAAACTGATCCTAAGTGAACTTTTTTTTTAAGGTTTAGCCAAACATGTTCCTTATTCGCCTCCTACTTTATGCATCTCAAAATTTAGAAAAAGGCAACGGGAAAACTCCGTAAAAAAGCCAGTGGCTCAGAATAACATAATAGCTCCAGTTCATGGATGTAATACACAGCAAGATATCCAAAAGGTTACCAAGGACGACGAAATAGCCAATACAAAGGTGGTGCTGGTCTATGTTTCAAACATGCAATCAAATGAAATTCAATAAAACTGTCGCATATTTTGAAACTATCAGAGCTACCATGAACCCTCAGCGCTGAGGGTAGGATTCTCGAAAGCGGAGAAATTCCAAAAAGTCTTCAATGCATAGGGCGGCGAAATTGTTACTCCCTCTTCTGTGATTTTCGCAATCTGCATTTATACATAATAAATAAATTATGTCATGAAAATATTATATCACGTCACTTGGCACTTTCCACCGTATACAACTACTTTGGTTTAAATAAGGATATCCTCAGGCAGCAAAGTAAGGAGAATTAAGCCCGCTCCTACAACAAACTCAATATAATTTAACCTAATATAATATTTGGAAAAATGAACCTATGCTTACCCAGAGGAAAAAACTAAAGGAGAATTGCACCAATAATATACAAATCACAACAGAGACAACTCCCATTAACTTTGCCAAGCTCAAAACAACAACAAAATCTAGCTCATCGTAAAGATTAAAATCAAGTAATATTTACCAAAAGTTATAACAAAAGTTCCTTCATCCACTTCCAATGCAATGCGTAAAACACAGTGTGAAATGTGTAATGGGCGTCGATTACCTCTTTATATCCTCCCCCATCCCCTGATTTCTCAACTGCCCTCTTTTTGTTAGTGATAGCGGGATTCATGAAATATAAATTACATAAAGCACCTCAAATTCCTAGTTTTTTTTTCTATGCATAAGATATATTGTGCGGAACAAATATGTTCTTCTGCTGGTTAGATATAACAATCTCTATAGGAATATGAAGGCATATGAAACAACTTTGTTTTCATGATATAAGTTAGTCTTGTATCCTCGCGATATTTCTAATTGCTCCAAATTTCAAGCGAGTAGCAAGAGGCAGCAGAAAATAATCAGACATCAAATAGTACAACAGTTTTTAGGAAGTAATGAAGTATGTATTTCACATAGGAGAACAAAACCTGAAGTTTGTTGACAGCTGATCTATCGCGATACAGAAGCACACGCATGCATTTTTCTAGTAGTATGACACCCTCTTCAAACGTCAAGTTCTCATGCCATTCATCACGGAGAAGAGGTCGTGCAAGGTGATTACCAAACCCAGTAGCCACATGGTTGTCCTCATAATGAACACCAATCATATTGACCTAGAAGTTCACATATATTTAGACAAATTTTGCCACAACTTCAAAACAAATTAACTTATAACAGAAAATTTATAAAT